TTTTTAATTTCTGCGCCTAAAACATTATAAATATGATAACCAGTGCCCAATTAAGAATCAAATGGATGTAGTCATTTTCAACTAAAACAGAATCATATTTTCTCTGGTTTGCACTGATAAGCCAAAGGGGAAAAATTTCTTTTGTCAATGCATTAAATATGTTGCAGCATCTAAGTGAAGATAAAAATCATCATAGGGTTGAAACTGTGCACATAGGCTGTTTGTAGCAAGATGATAGTTTACTGTAATAATAATAAAAACTGTTACTTGCTGAATTGCGTGTATCATGCTATAATGAGGCCAAGGCTTTAAGGATGGCCTTTGTGGTAATGAATGTATAGTTGTATTATAACCAAGGATCATTCAATAATAACAACTCTTACACAAACCACCTATTTATATAATCTATAAGATGAGTGCATTAATAGTGTAACCTATATAGCATGTAATCATAAATGTGTCAAATGTTATAAGGTGTGCGTGTGTGTACGTGTTAGTATGAGTTAGTTAACAAGTATACTACAGTGGTGATCACTTGAACAACACAGTCCAAGACTGCCAAATTATCATCCAACACACATCATTAAATGCACACAAAAAATAATAAAAGGTAACTACTAATTTGATATTAATAATACATGAAAACACTACACCACAAAGACTTATAAGGATAGTAACTGTAATAATACTGATGATGATAATAACAAACTAGATAAAGGTCAAACTTTTTAGCTCAGTGATCTCATGCAATCAGCATGCAGTGTTCCAGAGTCAAAAAGGAGTCCAGAATCATTACTGATGAAAAAATCACTCCTGATCCGGTAGAATAAGACTGAATCTTTGAATCCTGGATCCGGGATCAATTCTAATGAAAGATTCCTCCTGGATCCGGTAGAATAAGCCTGATTCCTTGAATCCCAGATCCGGGACTGTAGACACAGCGTTTGTCGCTTTGAGGAGAGGTCTAGAAATGGAGACTGCATACACAGCACTAAAGAGTACCGTGTTCTTAGGAAACACAAACTGTCCTCCTACAAGAGCGACCATGGCTACCTCAGCTGTCTCTGTGGATGATAGGCTTCCTCCAGATGCTCCAATTCTTAGCCCATACCTCTCCCAGTTTAGCAGTTGAGGTCTGTCTCCTTGTATCAGGAACAGTTTCTTACTGGCTATGTTAACGTCACTCAGACACTCTAAATTATCTGTATACATGTATATAAAACAAATATTAATTATTACTATGCATGTCTTACCCATTGAAGGAACAATATAATCAAACTGAATACCAATAGAACTAATCTCTTTCACTTTTTTTCTATTTCACAAAATGAGCCCCATTCCTCTTTACTCCTTCTTCTAGCAACCATTACAATCAAACGGAAGAAAACAAACTACAAAGTAATGTACATATACACTCAAACCACATCATCACTATAATGAAGAGTATCATACCTGGAATAGAATTGACATCTGTGTCTTGTATCTCTGAAAGAGATGAAACATAACTGAACTGTTTAGAAGAAGAGCTAGCACAGTTCACTCATAGGTTTACAATCAATAACAATTACCAAATTCTTAGAAAAGTGGATAGCAGCAAGAATAACAGCTTGGATTTAGTCTTTATCAGAGTATGTGAGTGTACATGTGTGTGTGTGTGTGTGTGCATATAGAAAATTAATATACACATGTACAAAAATGGTCAAAAGTAGTAGTGTCTTAGTTATCCTCTCCTTCCTTTTGAGCTTCTGTGGTAGTAACATTAGCTTCCTCATTTATGTCTTCTTTGACAATATTTAAATCGTTCGTTGGTTCATTACCCTCTTCCTTAGTCTCCTCTTGCTCCTCACTGTGTTTTTCGTCAGCAGTTACTTCTCCTTTTGCTTCTATTTCTTCTTTGACAATATTTAAATCATTTGTTGCTTCGTTATCCTCTTCATTAGCCTCTTCTTGTCCAGCCCCTTCTTCCTGTTTTTGGTGTTTTTCACCAGCAGCTACTTTATCATTTGTTTCTTCTGCTGTGACTGGTGACTGTTGCTCTGTTATGTCTTCGTCGCTTTTAATTTGGTTCAGCTGTTGTCCAGAGCTTTCATTAATATTAGCATCTGCCTCAATACTAACAACTGCTTCCACCACTTTTTTATCTGTTGTACCTTCACTTTGATTCTCTTGTCCTTGTGGAACCGTAAGCTCTACTGCTCCTTTTTCACCCTCTTTACTTTCATTTCCTTTCTCCTCCTCCTCCTCCCTTTTCTCCTTTTCTTCTTTACTAGTAACTTTACCTGGTTCCTCTATTGGTTGATTCAAGCTTGATAAGGCTGCCCCTTTGTAGCCTGGTTTTCTATCAACCAGTCCTCTCTCAATTAAGCTATAGCAACCCTCAATGATACATTGATTGATATCACGTGCAGTTACATCAATTCCTAACTCATTCTTTGCTTTACTGCAGTCAGTTCTGAGTGTTAGGCCAATTTGTCTATACAAATATTTCATCTTAGCACTCACAAATTTCATTGCCCACACTATCCCTTTAGGCAATACACGAGATGCAATACTGTAGCCTTGAGGCTCAAACTCTGCTCGAATGATGTCAGCTATTTCTGTCATCCACAATGGTTCTCCTGATACTACGTAACGTTGACCTGCTGCTCCATCTAATTCCATTGCACGAATGTGAGCAGCAGCAACATCTCTTACATCAATCATGGGAAAAGATACTTCCGCCAATACGGGCATCTTGCCTGAGAGTAGCTGATCAATAAGTATAGCTGTTGAAGAACAAACATTGGTTAACACTGGGCCCATAGCAGCACCTGGGTTAATGACAGAGAGCTCAAATTTTTTATCGTCGTCTAGTTTTGACATGAAGTCGAGAGCAGCTCTTTCAGCAAGGAGCTTACTCTTTTCATAGCCATCACACATTCCTTCGACAGACCAATCAGACTCGGTGTAGGTGTATGTAGGATCATTGAGATGATCGCTAACAACAACAGCTGATAAAGAAGAAGTGAATACAAATCTCTTTACAGTCCCTGCAGCCACCGAGGCCTTGAGGACATTAAGAGTTCCCTGGACTGCCTGACGGACGAGCGTTTCTTCCTTCTCAAACACAAGAACGGGTGAAGCAACATGATAAACGTATGTAACTCCTCTGAGAGCTTCGATCCAACATTCTTCATCTAAGAGCTCGGCCTCAACTAGCTCAAGAGGATACACACAAAAAACAAAGGTGCTATTTTAGCACAAATTTTGGTGCTAAGCCTTGTCCCCAGAATCAGAATGTCTACAGGCCTGTTGACTTATCCACAGTGTTAGGATGACATGCATGCTGTATTAATGAAGTGCTAAAATGACATGCATGCTGTATTATAAAGTG